TGATTTTCCTGGCATTTTCCCCATGATTTTCCCAGAATTTTCCTGGTATTTTCCCGGTATTTTCCCATTTTTTTCCCCCGGAATTTTCCCGGTATTTTCCTGGTATTTTCCCCTGATTTTCCCGGTATTTTCCCGGCATTTTCCCCATGATTTTCCCAGAATTTTCCTGGAATTTTCGCGGTATTTTTCTCATGATTTTCCTGGTATTTTCCCGGTATTTTCCTGGAATTTTCCCAGCATTTTCCCGTGATTTTCCCCTGATTTTCCTGGTATTTTCCCATGATTTTCCCGGTATTTTCCCCGAATTTTCCCGGTATTTTCCCGGCGTTTTCCCGGGATCCCGTGACTCACCCATCCCGGGCTCGGCGCCGTTGGCCGGGGGGGTGCAGGAGGAGGCGCTGAAATGGGCGGAGCCGCCGCGGTGGAACGACGACATGGGCGGCAGCGCGGAGCCCAGCTCGGCCGAGGAGTGCGACGGATAGCTCTGGAAAAAGCGGGAATGACGGCCGCAATCAGCCGGGAACGACCGGAATCCCGGGAATCCCGGGAATCCCGGGAACCGTCCCGAGGGAGGAGCCTCCCGGAGTCGGGGATTTGGGGAATGCTGGGATGGGAATGTCCAGGTTGTGTGGGAATGTTGAGCGGGAATACAGGGATTTTAAGGAATCCCAAGGTTTTCTGGGAATGTTGAACAGGAAAAATGGGAATAACAGCCGGAATTCCGGGAATTTTAAGGAATGCCGAGGTTTTCTGGGAATGTTGAGCAGGAAAACCAGGAATGCCGGGATGGGAACGTTGGGATTTTAAGGAATGCCGAGGTTTTCTGGGAATGTTGAACAGGAAAAATGGGAATAACGGCCGGAATCAGCTGGGAACGACTGGAATTCCGGGAATTTGAAGGAATGCCGAGGTTTTCTGGGAATGTTGAGCAGGAAAAACTGGGAATGTTGGGATGAGAATCCCGAGGTTTTCTGGGAATGTTGAGCAGGAAAAACTGGGAATGTTGGGATGAGAATCCCGAGGTTTTCTGGGAATGTTGAGCAGGAAAAACTGGGAATGCTGGGATGGGAATCCCGAGGTTTTCTGGGAATGCCGTGCAGGAAAAACTGGGAATGCTGGGATGAGAATCCCGAGGTTTTCTGGGAATGTTGAGCAGGAAAAACTGGGAATNTGTTATCCCAAAGTGGGGAAAATCCCCGGAATTCTCTGTCTCCTGTTATCCCAAAGTGGGGAAAATCCCGGGATAACGGGAATATCCGGGGATTTCTCTGTCTGCTGTTATCCCAAACCGGGGAAAATCCCGGGATAACGGGAATATCCCGCATTTCTCTGTGCTGTTATCCCAAACCGGGGAAAATCCCGGGATAACGGGAATATCCCGGATTTCTCTGCTGTTATCCCAAAGTGGGGAAAATCCCCGGAATTCTCTGTCTCCTGTTATCCCAAAGTGGGGAAAATCCCGGGATAACGGGAATATCCCGGATTTCTCTGTCTCCTGTTATCCCAAACCAGGGAAAATCCCGGGAATTCTCCGTCTCCTGTTATCCCAAAGTGGGGAAAATCCCGGGATAATGGGAATATCCCGGATTTCTCTGTCTGCTGTTATCCCAAACCGGGGAAAATCCTGGAATTCCTTCATTATCCCGAAGTGGGAATATCCTGGGATAATGGGAATATCCCGGGATAACGGGAATGGGAAAATCCTGGGATTTCTCTGTCTCCTGTTATCCCAAAGTGGGGAAAATCCCGGGATTTCTCCGTTATCCTGAAGTGGGAATATCCCAGAATTTCTCTGTTCCAAGGTGAGGAATATCCCAGGATTTCTCCGTTATCCCAGGACAGGAACATCCCTGGAATTTCTCCGTTATCCCAGGACAGGAAAATCCCGGGATTTCTC